CCTATCGCACTATAGGAAAAGCTGTAGATCATCGACCCAGACCTCAAAGTCAACAGCCCGACCCTCAGCATCAAAGACGAAAACGCTAGGGGTAGCCATGACAGGAGTGGCAGCAGGCTAGGGGAAGCAGAAGCAGTAGCAACAGTAGGGGCGCGGCTCGGCGGTGCTCTTACCAGGGCAGGTGGGTAGAGGTCCGCAAGTGGTGGGGCAGGGCCGAGGCGCGCCGGCAGGGACGGGGCCGCTACAGGGCGGCAGAGGACTGCCGCTCCTCTCTGCAGGGCAGGGCCGGAACGGCGGCGGCGGCCCCTGCTGTCGGCGGCGGCGGCGGCTGCAGTCGGCGGCTGCGGCGGCGGCGGCCCTGGTAGTGGCGGCAGCAGATGCTGCTGTCGGCGGATGCGGCGGCTGCGGCCCCGGCTGTGGCGGCGGCGGCTGCTGCTGTCGGCGGCTGCGGCTCCCGCTGCAGGGGCGGTGACGGCTGCTACTGCAGGGGCGGCGACGGCAGGGCGGCAGGTCCGTGAGGGAGTCGAAAAGGGGCCGCGGAGGAGCGAAGAAGGGGCCGCTAAGGGCGGTGAAGGGGCCGCGAAGGGGCCGCGAGGGGCCGCGAAGGGCGGCGACGGGGCCGTGAAGGGGCCGCGAGGGGCCGCGAAGGGCGGCGATGGGGCCGTGAAGGGCGGCAACAGGGCCGCGAGGGAGCCGCGAAGGGGCCGCAAGGGGCCGTGAGAGGGGCCGCGAGGGGCCTCGAAGGGCGGTGACGGGGCCGCGAAGGGGCCGCGAGGGGCCTGAAGGGGCCGCGAAGGGCCGTGAGAGGGGCCGTGAGGGGGCCGTGAGAGGGGCCGCTACGGGGCCGTAAGAGGGCGCGACGGGCCGCTAAGGGCAGGGGACGCGACGGGAGGGTAGGCACGCGCGGCGCGACTCGGGCAGGAGCGAAGCGCGCTCCGGGCAGGAATTTGTTTTTTCAATTTTCAGCGGTGGGACCTAGGAACGTTCCCACTAGGGAACCTGCTCTATACCATGTGAAGATTACGAGGAATGAGTGCACTAGGAAACAGGTGGGTACAAGTAGGAAATCCTAAAAGTGTTGTACCCTATATTGTCAACCCCACTACAGCCTACACAGACTATAGCATATAAGTTTGACACGGCTCAATGGGAGACCCCTCCATGCTGAGGGTTTGGGGGTGCATGGCGCAGTACCGACCGACCTCGGCCACAATCGGCAAGTTCGATCATCGCGCGCGCTGGGGAATTCACCTGGGGCTCAGTCACGAGCACAAAGGGTGGCTCATTCTCTACATTGACAGCAAGGAGGATGTTCCTGCGCGTGACATTCTCTTCTACGAGCGGCTCACCTTGAAGCACTGGATCGAGGACGAGCGGCGGAACGAGGCACGCGGCTGCGTCAATAGCGGTCGCAGCTTTGCGACTCCATAAGACAAAGCAGCAGCAGCAGCACTGGACCGCGATGACACTGACGAACACCCCAGTATCCCGCCTCACCCACGCGACGACGACGACGATGACAGTGATGATGATCCCGCGCCAGGGTCGTCACGGCGCCAAGCAGAGCCAAGCACCACAACGCCCGGCTACGAAAGCGGAGACGATGACGTGGTGGAAGTCCCCACCAACACAGACACCACCAATGTGTCAGGCCTTCTACTTCTCAGCCTGCACACGTCCGTCACCACCCTCGCTCGGGCCGTGGAGCCAAAGAATCCTCGCCAGGCCCTAACCGGCCCTCACGCCAAGGAGTGGCGTATAGCGATGGATGCGGCGCTGAAAGTGCTGGAATCTCAAGACACATGGGTCCTAGTCGATCGTGCAGCAGTGAAGGGGAGGAGGGTACTCAGCGGAAAGTGGATTTTTCGCTTGAAGACCAACGCTGACGGCACCATCGAACGTTTCAAAGCGCGCTGGGTCGTACGAGGGTACAATCAGCGCCACGGCATCGACTTCGATCAGACCTTCGCTCCCGTCAGACGTCACACATCCGTCAGGATTCTTCTAGCCACTGCCGCCGCTAAGCACTGACAAAATTAGAAGAAAGAAGAGGATTGAACTAGCAGGAATGAGGATACAAATAGCAAACCCTAGAAGGGTTGTACTTGCTATAGAGCACCCCACTACAGGCTAGAATAGAAGATAACATTCTGACAAGCACCTGCCACTGCGGCAGATCGACGTGGAGAACGCGTTTCTATACGCGTTGGTGGACGCTACCATCTTCGTGGAGCAGCCTCACACCTACGGAGGAGGGGATCCTAGGGTCTGTCAGCTGAAGAAGTCCCTCTACGGGATCAAGCAGGCGCCTCGTCTCTGGCAGCAGCATCTGCACAAAATTCTCCTAGAGATCGATTTCAAGCAGCTGCCGCATGACCCGGGAATGTATCGCCTTCACTTTAGCGGCGATTACATTCTCCTGACAGTTTACGTCGACGACCTGCTGTACACGGGCACCTGCAACAAACTCCTTAACCAGTTCGAGGAGAACCTGGCGCAGCGCGTTGACATCACCATCGACCACAACTTGAAGCAGTTTTTGGGGCTGAACATCACCTACGCGCCAGAAGCAATTCACTTGTCAGCGTCCAAGTACGCAAAGCAGCTGGGGGAACGCTTCAACATCCCCGCACCACTCTCAACTCCCTACCGCAACCCCAGCGCCAACTACAAACCTCTGTCACCCGCAGGGCTTCAAATGTACCAGCACAAGTTGGGCTGCCTGCTATTCGCCTCTGACACCTGCCGACCTGACCTCTCGTACATTGCTAGCCAACTGGCACAGTATTCCCGCAAGCCAGTAGCTGAGAACCAGCTGGACCTGGAGCGCGCCCTGCAGTACTTCATCTCCACACCTGACATTGGGCTCTCCTACTCCACGCTGACGACGACCTCCTTCAACCTCAACGGCTACGTGGACGCAGATCATGCAGCTGACCCTGCAAATCGACGGTCCCGAACCAGCTTCGTTTTTCGCGTGGAACCAACTGGGCCAATCTCCTGGAACTCGCAGAAGCAGGAGCTAGTTGCCCTGTCATCGGCTGAAGAAGAATACATCGCAGCGACAGCAGCAGTTCGCGAAGACCTGTACCTGCAGGAACTGCTACAGGAGGCGAAAATCCCAACCTCGCCTACCTTTCGCCTCCACTGCGACAACCAGACTGCCATCAGGATCGCGAACAAACCAGGTTTCGTGAACCGCACGAAGCACATCGCACTTCGGTACTTTTTCGTCAAGGACGAAATTGACCAAGGAAAAGTTGACCTCGCCTATTGCCCGACTACTGAGATGGCAACAGACTTCCTCACCAAGCGCCTGCCACGTCAGCAGTACAAATACTGCTCTGACCTCACCGGAGTAGTCAAGCGAGTCAGCTCCTCCTGCGCCCAGGAAGGAAGGGGAGTGTTACGATATGAAGTTTTATGAGAAGGCATTCCTGTATGCTGCAGGAGCCGACTCTACCGAGTACGAAGTCGAGGAGTCAGAAGAGTCGAAGCGACGCAGCAACCATCTGACCAAGACCGACGCAAGCAGAAACATTTGAAGTGAAAAGAGCGGGAACAGGTTCGAAACGGGTTCGCGCGCCGCACGGTTTGAATTTCGTTGTAATAAGGGAATGTACCCCTTAGAGTACATGACTAGTCTAGGCCTTTTCGTATTCCTCTGTATTCTTATATAAACCCGATGTATGCATGCTTTTATCAACTCAGTCATCTACAATCACTCTGACCTGAGATTCAAACTTCCGCTGCAACACTACTCTGCGATCAACACTGGGTGATCCTTCGCTAAGTTCCACTTGGGATTGTAACAGACACACATGGGAACGTTTGGTCACACTTGATCACGCTTGGTCACGCTTGGTCACACTTGGTCACACTTGGCACACACCAGTAAATGTAGTGCAGTTCAAGAATTCAGATAAGGAACAGTCACATGCATGTAATTTCCACAGTTCATACGTTTTGTTAAACTTCGGTTTTTATATGAAAATATTGCTTTGTTTTATTAATTTTGAAATGGCTGTCTTGTCTCTCTCTGCTGTTTAGCGCGTCACTTCCAGTAATGCGCATCGCGCCAATTCAAATTCTGAAAATCGTCATTCAGACGCACAAACAGCAGAGGGAATGCCATCGCCATGCAACTGTATGCCATCACTCCCGCTCCCACCGCTCTGCCACCCTGCCAACCTGCCACTCCGCCAGTCATCATCCATTCATGGCGCACGCTCCCTGCAGGGTGTTATTTTGGGGGTTGTCTTGTGTGCTCAAACTATGTACCTTACGGTTCAGTATGTTTTCTCGAGATTCAAAACGGTCATAATGAAAATCCGCTTGGTAGCGTATCCCACCCATTGGAACCGTGTTAAGTTCATCGAGCGTGAAGGTGTTGCGCATTCCTATCCCAGCACAGCTACAATAAGTGAAGACTCAGCCTGCGAGTTAAACATAACCACGCTAGCATTCTTGGAGTTGGTTCTTAGTCGGAACAGTCCTGCGCTTCGTGTCGTATGACGGACTCGCCATATATTTCGCTCGCACGGAGGTCCTTCTGTCCACTACGCGTCCGTATTGAATCTGGCGGCGCTGGCGGAAACTTGGGTGCTTGACGGACGTCCGTTCGTTCATTGTGGTCGAAAATATCAGAGGTAACAAGGGCGACGTCTGAGATCTCCTATGCCTAGAGTTCATATCCGTTGGATAATTATATCAGTTTTCTCTTCGCCTATTGGGCTTCTTAAATGATGACTTGCGACGATATGTGCATGTTGAAAGCGTGTTGCTCCTGGTATTTGTCGATCTGATTCGACGCCATTGGTTTTTTTTTTTTTTCGCAGTGCAGAAGAGTTTGATATTGACATCTGAAGTTGTTTCGCTTCGTGAGCGTTAAGCGGGGATAACCGAACCGGCCTGAGCCGCGAAAGCTACAGCGTGCCAGAAGCATTAACTTGCCCTAGGCGACGTTAGCGACCAAGGCGACGAAGGCGACGACGACGACGATGGCGGCAGCAGACGGCGAGAACGAGGAGGTGATGTGCGATGATATCGGCAGCGATTTGGGCGCGAGCGAGGGCGAAGAGGAGGAGGAGGAGGTGGACGAGGCGGGCGAGGAGGAGGGCGAGCGCGACGAGGAGGTGGACTTGGAAGACGGCAGCGACGCGGAGGGAGACGCGGCGACAGCGGGAAGCAACAAGGGTTCCCCGCTCTCGGTGAGTGCGCGTTAGGTTCGTCAGGAGTCTGAAAGATTGTCGCGACAAGTACTAGGGAGACTCTGCTGTTAGTCAGCGTCATTCCGTTAGCCCGTCATTCTGTCTTTCATTTATTTCCTGCACAGCACTCTTTCCTTTTTTAACCAAAGACACATTATTGTCGTCACTATCACGTGAAAGCTGTATTCTGTTTGCGCTCGCTTGCACGTTTCTCGGTGATGTGTGTTCGCGACGTTCTTGCGATGTACTTTGGACGTCGGGGTCGCGACCTTTTTTCGCAAATATGTGTTACGCCTTTGCGGCATTCTCGATTCGTTACCGTGTCTGCGAATTACAGGATCGCGAGGGGCCGTGGACGGACGACGAGGTGCAGGCGCTGGTGGACCACCTCGTGCTGCTGGAGGAACAGGTGCGTGCGACGAGGCGTGCGACGCAGTTACTAGTCCGTGCGACGCCGTTGGCCATGCGTGCGACCGGACGGGAGTAAAAATTTGTGCGACGATGTTAAGAGTAGGCGGGAAGTGGGCAAGAACGTAAGCCGCACGTTTCCTGTTCAAGAGAGGAAGACGAGTTCCTCGCATTCGCGACAGCAACACGACAGCTTCTTATGTTAGAAATGTTTTCAAACATACGGTGCGCGTAAGCTGATCTCTTACAAGTGAAATCCGCTTTCCAACACCCTGCAGGCGGCGGAGGCGCAGGAATCGCTGGAGGAGGAGTCTATGGAATCCGTGCGCAGCAACGTTGCGGAAGAGATCCGCTCCGCGCGCCCGGACTGCTCCCCGGACCAGGTGAGCCTCGCGGAAGGTTACAGGGGGAACGGGGAGGGGTAAGGGATAAGTGTTGATGCACGCGAGTTCCGCCATTCACAGGAGATGTGTTCCTCTAGGCGCCTCAAAATGCTTCCCACCCTTCCCTCCGCGCCTCCCCTGCTACGGCCGTGTGTGTGCAGGTGGCGGTGCTGGTGGACGAAGAGATGGGAACTTTACAGGAGGTGTGAGACTTGAAGCGCCTCAAAGGGCCTTACCCGCCCTTTCTCCCTCCCTCCCTCCCGTCCCCGGGTCCGTGTGTGCAGGTAGCAGTGCTGGTGGACGAGGAGATGGCAACGCTGCAGGAGATGTGGGAGAGGGAGCTGAACGCGCTGTTGGATAAGATCTCCGAGGCCCAGGTGCGCGTTTGTAACACGTGAGGTGCTTTAAATCAAACAAGAGCTGAACGCATGCGTGCGTCTGTGCGTGTTTGAACGACTGAGAGGGGAGAGGGGAGAGGGGAGAGGGAAGAGGAGAGAGGGGAGAGGGGAGGTACGACGCGAAGGTGGGATTCCTGCTGTTCCGTTCGCTCACTATCGTGGCACACTGCCGTCTCCCGCTCAGCCTTGCTGACGGCATTCGCTACTGCATCTGACTGTGTTGACGGCTTGATGAACATCTTGGCGCTCTTTCTGTGGCAGCTGTTGCCATTCTGAAACGCACGGCTGCAGCCCTTTCTTGACGCATGCTCCCTCTTCATCTCTCCTCGCGCGTCTCTCCTCCTCCCTCTCCTTCCCCATTCCCCACCACGCTCCCCTCCCCTCATTCATCTCAGGAGTGTCTCGATACTGTTCCAGGCATAGACCTGCCAGCCGTATACGCCTTCATTGAAAAGCACACGTCAAAAGCAGCACGCACAGCGGCTTGGAAGGAGCGCTCGCACTGGATCACCGACCCTAAGCGCGACGCTGCCAAGGCTGAGGCTCGGCGGCAAAGGGAGGCTTGGAGGAGGGCCGAGGCTCGGGCGGCGGAGCGGAAACGGAGCAAGCGGGCGGCCAAGAGGAAGCGGGGAGAAGGGGAGGAGGAGGGAGATGAGAGTGAGGAAGAGAGTGAGGAGGGAGAGGAGGACGATGAGGATGAGGAGGATGAAGATGACTGGGTGCGGGCAGCTGAGAAAGTTTTGGCGCACGCACGGCCTATTGCAGAGTGAGTTTGGCCGTCTAACTTGGGATTTGTTGAGTGTGCTGGCAGGCTTGCAGCGAGAGGGAAGGGAGGACTGGTTATGAACGCCCTCATTTCCTTTTGTTCCTTTTCTGAGCGCCCTTTTCTGAGCGCCCTTTTCTGGAAAGTCATCCTATCTACTATTTTTTCTAGAAGCGATGGTCCAGTGCATGTTCTTGTTTCACTCCTGTTTTGAAGTCTAGTTTCTTTGACGCCCTCGTCCCTGCTGCGCCATCCCGCCCGCGCCATTATTCCGCAGTAATAAAGAATGAGAGTTTGGCGCGTATTCTATGCACAGCGGCACGCTCTTCCGCTCCTCCGCTATCAAAATTCCCCATGCCCCTCTCTCCCGACTTGCTCTGCGCAGGACGAGTAGGGGGCTGGCGCCGGTAGGAGCGAGTGGGTACCTGGAGCAGCTACTGCGCGATTGCGAGGAGAAGATGGTGGGCGAGGCGACCAAGGCTGCTGTGGATGCCATACAAGCAGATGCAGCAACAGCGCCTGACGCAGCAACAGCGCCTGACGCAGCAACAGCGCTTGACGCAGCAACAGCGCCTGACGAAGCAGCAGCAGCAGCAGCAGCAGGAGCAGCAGGACCTGATGGGGAGAGTAAGGGAGACGGTGCAGTTGGGGGTTGGAGTGAACAGGAGAACGGGACAGACGCGGCACCGGCAGGAGCAGGAGGTCAGCGTGCAAACGCATTACGAGCAGCAGCAACAGCATCTATGCTCAAGACTTGGACCGTATACGATTCAGCTGTTTCCAAAGCTGTCACTGCTGCCACCGCTTCTGCAGCCCCAGCGGCAGCAGCAGCTGCAGGAAAGGGACGAAAATCCAGCAAAGCGGCGGCTGCAGCTGCTGCGGCAGCGGCGGCGGCAGCAGCAGCAGTTGCGGCGCGGCCTGAGTTTGAATTGCTGAGATTGTACAATCTGGACTCCCCCTGTCAGGCAGCAGCGTTGGACTTGAATGCAAAAGTGGAGGAGATTGCAGAACCTAAGATGAATGAGGTGAAGGAGGCTGCAGCGGTGGTGGAGGAAGCAAAGAATGGGCTCACGTCACAGCAGATGGCCAGCATGGTCAAGGTGGGTGGGAGCTTGGAGCTACTAACATGGCTTCTCTGATGGTAAACTCACCTTCTTTCTCAGCTTGGTTTTCTGTATGTGGACGGGTGGGTGGGTGAGTGGGTGGGTGGGGGTGTGGGGTAGGCTGATGGTGTGTAGTGTGCAGTGGTCCTACTCGTGCTCCTCTCTCTGTTAGTTCTTGGGGCGCTTTTAAAATTGCTCCGTGGTGTGGCTTTGTGTGGTTCTGTGTGTGCTTGAATGTCTGACCGTGTGGTGGTTGTTGTTGCCTTGATGCAGATAAGAGATGGGGACGATGAGAAGAAGATGAAGCAAGCAAGGAGGAGGGTCAGGGAGAGGGTGAAGCGGCAGCAGCAGAAGCAGAAGCAGCAGGAACAGGAGATGGCAAAAGAGAGGGGCAGTGATGGGAAGCAGGGAACGGCAGGGAAACCGGCCCAAGGGACGGGTAAAGCTGCTGGGGAGAGCAAGGCAGGGAGGGAGGAGGAGGAGAGAGAGGGCAAGCGACCACGAGTTGTGCTGGTTGTTTCTACTGACAGCAGCGGTAGCAGCGACAGTGAGGGCGTGGAGATGATCCGTACTAGCAGCAGCAGTGGAATGGAGGTGGAGGGGGAGGAGTTGGAGGAGGGGGAGGTGCGGGAGGATCAGGTGGTGTTGGGATCCGATAGCCAAGAGTCAGACGATGTGATAGTAGTGGGGGAGACGCGTGGGAAGTCGGATAGGGAGGTAGAGAAGGGCGCAGTGAGGGGACCAGGCGTTGTGGGCAGAGTGGGACGGAAGGAAGGAGCGAAGGAAGAGGAGGAAGAGGAGGAGTGTTTGGTACGATGCACCGTATGCGGGCAAGAGACACCGGCTAAGAGGGCCCGAGTGCATAGCACCCTCTCGGTCCCCCTCTGCCGAACCTGCCACGTGTCACGCATCAATGTGACCTTTTCTGTGGACAAATCGGACGGTACAGAGCAGCAGTGCCACTGGTGCGGGCTGGGAGGCCACTTGTTGCTCTGTGACACGCCCAAGTGCCGCTTCACATTCTGCCGCACCTGCGTGTTAAGGAACTTTGGGGCGGCGGAGTATAGAAGGATAGAGAGCTCTGATCCAGAAGGGGGGAATCCCTGGAAGTGCTTCTGCTGTGATGCTGGTCCGCTGGCTGGGTTGCAGGCGGAAGGGGCGAAGGTGGTGGCGCGGAGGGGGGTGCGGGCAGCGAGGGGCGTGTGGGGGAAGAAGGAGAAGGAGGGTCAAGGGGAGGGGGAGAAGGGAGCGGGGTTGGAGGGAGTGCGGGAGGAGAAGGCGCGGGGAGAGGGAGGGGAGGGAGGCGAGAGGGAGGCGGAGGGAAGAAATGCTGAGAGGTAAGTTTGCGAGCTCAAAAGGGATTTGTGGCATGTGTGTGACTTGTGACAGACGTGTGACTGTGGTGGGAGTTGTGACTCGTGCTGCAGTGTGCCCTGCAACGCATGGTGCATGGGAATTTCCACTGTGCCCCTGCACCCCTAGGCCCATGCTGAGACGATTCTTAAAGCCTGTAACAACTCTATTATGCACTATCCCCCGATGCCCCGGCTGGTGGCAGTGGCAGCGGCAAGCAGCAGAGGAGGCGGGTCCCCATTATCAGCGACGATCAGCTTGGTGCCAAGACCAAACAGGCGCTGGAGCGAGAACGGGTAATGCCCATGCTGCCTTGCTGCTGCTCCTCTGCGCCACCCCCGTCCTTCTGCCCTCTCTGCCTGCCTCTCTGCCTACTTCCCTTCCTTCCCTCCCACACGCTCCCTTTGAAGGGCTCCCTTTCTTCCTTCGTCCGTTGCGCGCCTCCTCTAATTCTTTTTTCAATCACACCCCCCCCCACCCCCCCCCCTCTACCTCATTCCACCTCTCCCTCGCCTCCCCCCCCCCCCCACCCCCCCCCTCTACCTCTTTCCACCTCTCCCTCGCCTCCCCCCCCCCCACCCCCCCCCCTCTACCTCTTTCCACCTCTCCCTCGCCTCTTCTCACCAGCGCCGGCGAGAGCAGGAAGAGGAGTGGAGGAGGATGAGGGAGGAGCGGGAGAAGCTGAAGGAGCAGCCTCTGTGGCGGCAGAAGAGGCGCAGGCAGAGGATGGAGCAGGGGGGAGGGGGAGGGGAGGAGGACGAGGCGGATGAAGAGGAGGAGGTGCAGCAGGATGGGTGTGTGGTGATCAACAAGCTCAGGGCGCTGTCTGAACCTGCTGTGCGCATTCATCCGTTCCTCTCAGAGTGCCTCAAAGACCACCAGGTGAGATTGCGGGGAAGAGGATGAGGAAGAAGAGGAGGTGCAGCAGGATGGGTGTGTGGTGATCAACAAGCTCAGGGCGCTCTCTGAACCTGCTGTATGCATCCACCCATTCCTCTCAGAGTGCCTCAAAGACCACCAGGTGCGTGTGATGGGGGGAAGGGAAAGGGGGAGAGGGGCATTTATTAGGTGCCACAAAAAGGAGTCTGAATCGGCGTGCGTATCCACTCGTTCATCTCAGAGTGCCTCAAAGACCACCAGGTGTGTGCGATGGCAGGGGGAGAGGGGAGGGGGGGGGGGGGGGGGGGGGGTTGCGGAGGGCGTGCAAGGGGCTGCCAAGGCGCTACCAAGGGCACTTCCCACTGGACAACGCCCAGGAACGGTTGGGCTGTATTACCTTTTACTGGGCGGATATCTCACTGTCGTTTCCCATCCGTTCTCTCGCCTGTCCTCTCAGGTGGAGGGCGTGCGGTTCATGGGGCAGAACTGCATTCACCGCATGGCGCTCGTGAAAAGCGTTGGTTGTGCTGCCTTGTATTGGGCGGACGTCTCACCCTTTCTTCCTTTCCCTCTTTTTCTTCTCAGGTGGAGGGCGTGCGGTTCATGTGGCAGAACTGCATTCACAGCATGGCGCTCGTTCAAAGCGGGGACCCGGGGTTCGGGTGCATTCTCGCGCACTCCATGGGGCTGGGGAAGACCCTCCAAGTTATCACCTTCGTGCACACTGTGCTGAACCAGTTCCACTCGCACGGGCTCCGAACGGTGCTGATTGTCGCGCCTGTGAACGTGCTGCATAACTGGAAGGAGGAGTTTCGGCGGTGGATGCCAGTGGTGGGGAGCGGTGCTGCTGCAAAAGGGGCAGGAGGAGTGGGAGGAGCGGGTAAGGGAGGAGGCAATGGAGTGGGAGGGGGGGAGGGGAGGGCCAGCGACGTGGTCAGGGCCCAAGAGCGGGCAGGAGGAGCAGAGGGAGGAGGTGGATATACCAGTGTATCTGCTTGACGATGCTGGAAGGTGTGTAGTGCAATCGGTGGGGCAGTGGGGAGGGGACGGGTTTCGTTCCATTGACACCTGGCAGCATCATCAAGCAGGCGTTTCTAACTTTGTCGGGTATACCGGTGTATCTGCTTGATGATGCTGGCAGGGCGAACGCGGAGAGAGCGAGGCAGCTGAGGAGGTGGAAGGAGGGAGGGGGCGTGATGCTGATCGGGTACCAGGCGTTTCGCATGCTGTGCCTGGGCACTCACGTGCAGAAGGAGACGCTGCGACACACCTTCAGAACGTGCCTGCAGGTATGTGGGGACCTGCCTATGCAGGTATGTTGCAGGGGTTGCCTTATGAACATGCCTTTAGTGCCTTGAGACGTCTCGAGACACGTGCAGAAGGAGACGCTGCGACACACCTTCAGGACGTGCCTGCAGGTGTGTGGGAGGGTGCTGTTCTGTTCACACATGCCGGCAGGGCCCTGAGACGTCTGTCTAAATGCACTACGCACAATCGGGAGCAGCGACTACAGTGTTTTCAGGTAGCGCCACTGTGCATGTGGCCGAACCCCCTAATGTTGCCAGGCACACCATGCACCAAGCGCCAAAATAGAAGATTCGAAATGATCTGTTGACTTTGTCCTACACTGTGGCCAAAGATTCCACATCAAAACACACAAGAAACAGACAATTTCGAACACGGGTTCAAAGCACATACAGAATATCTAATGGAGCCCCAGATAGGAGCCATGTCTTTACGTGGCTGCGACTGAATCAGTCGCAGCCACGTAAAGACATGGCTCCTATCTGGGGCAATTCCGAACACGGGTTCAAAGCACATACAGAATATCTACGTTCAGTAGAAAGGGGTAATGTATGGTAGAGCGAAAAGCAACAGCAGCCAACCACACATGCGAGCGCACTGTACACTTCCTGGCCAGTCAAAGTCATGCACTACCAACGTGGCAGTCGTGATTGTGCTTGTAGGGTATGTGCTAGCACCATTCTAGGCACGTTGCAGTCACTACAAGCGCCCGGTTCATGTGGCGATTGTGCATGTGGTGAGAATGAGGGTGTATTTCGCATGCTGTGCCTGAGTTTAGGGTCACGTGCAGAAGGAGTTGCTCCGCTCCGCCACACCTTCAGAACGTGCCTGCAGGTATGCCGGGAGGGTGCTTTTTAAACATGCCTGCAGGGCTTGCTGCAGGTACGCAGGTGAGGGGTGTGCGGCATGCCTTGTACACGTGCAGAAGGAGATGCTCCGCTCCCCCACAACTGCAGAACCGCCGTGCAGGTATGCCTGAAGGTCTCTTGGCCAACACAGCGGTGCTTATTTTACACACCACTCCACACCACATGCAGCACACACACGAGACGCCACACAACACTCTAATCCAGTACCCTCCTCCCCTCGACCCCCCCTCTTCCCCCCTTCCCCCCGACTCTCTTCCTCTCCCCGTCCCGCAGGACCCAGGGCCAGACCTGCTGGTGTGTGACGAGGCGCACACGATCAAGAACGACAAGGCGGACACGACGGTTGCTCTCAAGTGTGTGCGCACCAAGCGCCGCATTGCTCTCACTGGCTCGCCCCTGCAGAACAACCTCACTGAGTACTATTGTGTGAGTGGAGGGGGGGGGGGAAAGAAAAAAAAGGGAAAGCGGGAGAAGCCGGGGAAGATTGGGGAGTGCAGACAGGGAAAGGGGGAGGGCGTGAATTGGGTAAGCACTACTGAAGCTTGTTGCCAACAAGTTGAAGCGCCGCATTTCACTCGCCAACTTGTTGCCCCAGACTTTATATGAAGTCAATTTTGTTGCTGTAGAACAACCTTCACTGGTCCTGCTGCTTACACCTCTACTACCCTTCTCCCTCCCTCACTCCCTCGCTTCCCTCCCTCCCTCTCTTCCCCCCACCCCCCTGCGCGCCCTCAGATGGTGGACTTTGTACGCGAGGGCACCCTGGGCACGCCACATGAGTTCAAAAACAGGTGCGTGTGGGATGGATTGGAATGCGGGGGGGTGGGATGGGATGGGATGGGATGGGATGGGATGGGATGAGGTGTGATGGGAAGGAGGATGGGAGGGAAAGGGAGGGACTCCAACTGCGTCCCTTTCATTTGCTTCGGTTCCCCCCACACTCACTTGTTCTGCGGTCCCCTTCCTTCCCTGGCCCCATCCAACAGCCTCCCAGGCCTCCCCTCTCCCGAAACCCAACCACGCCCACTTAGTTCGAAAAACCCATGGTCAATCCGCACTCTTCCTTCTTTCTCAAATAACCCCCTCCCTCCCTTTCCGCACCCAACGGCTCCAACACCCTCAGGTTTCGAGAACCCCATCGTCAACGGCCAGCGCTCTGACTCCCATCCCCTCGCTTTCCCCTCGCCACTCACTTGCTTCGCCTGCCTTCCACCCTTCCCTCCCCTCCCTCCCATGTTCAACCCCCTCCCACCCTTCCCACGCCCCCCCATCCCCACTACTTCCAGGTTCGAGAACCCGATCATCAACGGCCAGCGCTCCGACTCGGACAAGTCAGACGTGCAGCTCATGCGCGAGCGCTCCTACGTGCTCGCGAACCTCCTCAAGGGATTTGTGCAGCGCCGCTCAGCAGATGTTGTCGCGCATGAGCTGCCTGACCGATACGTCTACGTAGTGGTCGTGAGACTCAGCCCGCTGCAGCGCTCGCTGTACCTGCGGTTCCTGGCGTATCGCAGCTCTGCTGTCGCTGCTGCTGCCGCCGCCGCTGCTGCTGCTGCTGGTGGTGCTGCGACTGCTGGTGCTGCTGCTGCTGCTGCTGCCGCTGCTGCCGCTGCTGCTGCCCCACAGTCAGCCCGCAAGGGTTCTTCCTCCTCTCCACCACCACCCGGCACCTCGTCTCCCATCTCTCCTCTCCCCCCCCACCCGTCGGCCTCTGTCGCTGCCCCCGGATCCTCCCCTCCCTCTGCTGCGCCCCGCACCTCCCCCAAGCTTGCTGCCTGCTCTAGTGGCCGGCTCTCACCTCCCGGAAGAAAAGCAGCCGACTCTGCTGCCGCTGCTGCTGGCAGTGGTGCTGCTCCTGCTACTCCTCCTGCTGGTGCTACTGCTGGTGGTGCTGGTGGGGGTGGGGCGGCGTCGGGGGGAGTGGAAGACAAGAGGAGGACACTCTTTGCGTCCTATGCGGCACTCGCCAAGGTGATTCTAAGACTCGCCAAGGTGATTCTAAGACTCGCCAAGGTGATTCTAAGACTCGCCAAGGTGATTCTAAGACTCGCCAAGGCAATTTGATGCTAAGCTATCAATATGCTGTCTGATGCTCTGATCCATCTCCCGCCCTACAACCATAAGCCTCTTCGCTTGTTCCCCACTCTCGCCCCGCCCCTCCCCCCCACCCCCACCCGTCGCCCCTCGCCGCTCGCCTGCACCCACACTTCTCATGGCCGTTCAAGGGCCACGTGTTCACCTTGTCTACTCGCCAAAGCTGCTACCAAGGCTGCTTCTGCCCTGTAGCCATACTTTTGTTTGTTCCTCACTCCCCTCCGTCCCTCGCCCCTTTACCTCTCGCCCAACCTCCCCCCCCCCCCCCCCCCCCCCTCCCCCACCACTTTGTACCCCCAGGTGTGGACGCACCCCTTCATCCTCACCATGCGTCGCCAGGAGGCTGATGAAACCGAGCCTGATACTGACGCTCCTGCCGATGCTGCCTCGCCCCTCGCCCCACCTGCTGCTGCTGCTGCCACTGTGTCGGCTCTTGACAATGTATGTAGCTCGAGGAGAAGGCGGAATGGGTGTGTTTGTAGGTGTCTCAACTCGCCCCACCAGCTGCTGCTGCCACTATGTCGGCTCTTGACAATGCATGTGGCAAGGACTGACAGAGTATCAGCTGGCATGTGTGTGCATGAGTTTGTGAGACGGATGTGCATGGTTTGAGATTCCAGCAAGCGTGCTCGCCCCTCTCCCTGTTCCCTGTTCTTCCTCCCTCTCCCCCTTCTCGTTCTCTCGACCCTTCACTTCGTCACCTTCTCACCCTCCCGCTCCTCTCTCCCCTCCACCCCTCTCTCCCCCAGTCGTGGTGGCAGGAGGAAGAGGAGGCGATACGGCAGGGCGGGTTGGGGGTGAGTGGCAAGCTCACAATCGCTCTGGATATTCTCAAGCAGGCAGCAGCAGCGGGTGACAAGGTGCTCTTCTTCAGCCAGTCGCTGCTCACACTTGACCTCCTGGAACTTCTACTGGCCGACATGCTCGACCCCAGTGGTGCTGCTGGCGGTGTTGGAGCCAAGTGGACGGCAGGCGTGCACTGGTACAGGTATGTTCTGACCTCCAAGCATGTTTCTGAGCAGCAGCGGGAGACAAGGTGCTCTTCTTCAGCCAGTCGCTGCTGCTCACTCTCGACCTCCTGGAATTGCTGCTGGCAGACATGCTCGATTCCCTTGCTGCTGCTGCTGCTGCTGCTGCTGCTGCTGCTGCTGCTGCTGCTGCTGCTGCTGGAGCTGGTGTGGGTGCCAAGTGGACGGCAGGCGTGCACTGGTACAGGTATGCTCCGTTCCTGTTCCTGCTGCACGCCTGGCCTGATCATTTCCAAACCGATCCCAGACTTTCCCGTCTCCTTTCCTCTTCTCAACCCCTCCTACCCTCTCCCACCCACCCTCCCCCTTTTCACCTCTTCCCAGAATCGACGGGTCTGTGAGTGCAGTGCACAGGCAGACGATAATGAACCGGTTCAACGAGCCGCGCAGCAACTGGCAGGCATAGGCAGATGCCTCCAGACACCCCACTCCTGCCTTCTGCTGTGCACCTGACTGGTCTCCCGTCTCTCGTCCTCACCCCTCCCTTTCTTCCAGGATCGACGGGTCGGTGAGTGCGGCGAGGAGGCAGACGATAGTAAACAGGTTTAATGAGCCGCGCAGTAACCGGCAGGCGCGGTGTGTGCTGATCTCGACGCGCGCTGGGTCGGTGGGGATCAACCTGGTGGCGGCTAACCGCGTGGTGCTGCTGGACGGGTCCTGGAACCCTGCGCATGATTTGCAAGCCATGTTCCGAGTTTGGAGGTGCGTGGGGGAGGTGGGGGTGAAGGAGGGGGGGTGTGAGGGAATTGGGGAGGGGGGCAAAGGGGGAAGAGGGGAGGGAGGACGGGGGAGAGGGGGGAAACGACCTGCAGGCCATGTTCCGTGTGTGGCGGTGCATGCGCTGGAAGCCGGAGAGGGGGCAAAAGGGGGGAAGGAGGGAGGGAGGATGGAGGAAGCGGGGAAGACAAGGGGTCGTGGTTTTTTCAGGGGATTGTCTGCATTTCCAAGAAAATGTGGGGGATGGAGAGGCGACACTCTGTTTCATTCAGTTCTATTATTGGCTGGTCAGCATGTGTCACTCCCTTTCCAAGAGGCCCCTTCCCCTTTCCACAGATTTTCCTTCTCCTCCATCCTCCCTCGTCCGCATTCTCATCCTTGCCTATCCTCCCCATTGCTGCATGGCACCCATCGGCATGTGAGCAGGTACGGGCAGAACAAGAAGGTGTTTGTGTACAGGCTGCTGGCAGCAGGGACCATGGAGGAGAAGATCTACAACCGCCAGGTGCGCCACGCCACCTTGCCACCATGCCACGTCCATACCTCATCATTCCTATTGTATTATCATCATCCAATCGTCACTTCTTCATAGTATCATATCATTCGGAGATCGTTTTGTCATCACATCATATCATGTCGTCACATGGGCACGTGGCAGGTGCTGAAGGAGGGTTTGTCAGCACGAGTGGTGGATGAGCAGCAGGTGGTGCGGCACTTCACAGACCGTGACCTGGACGGGCTCTACTCCCTTGATGATGAACATGCTTCTCATGCTCACGCTTCTCATGCTCCACACCACACCGGTTCGCACGCGGAGAAACACGCAGAGCAGCAGCAGGAGGGTGTGCAACAGCAGAAGAGCGAGGAGGGAGGGTCGGGGAAGCAAGGGCAGAGAGGCGGGATTGAGGAGGGAAAGGAGAGGGAGATAGCAGATGCAATTATGCGGAAGATCCTGGCAGATCACAAGGACAGGTGGGATGCTCTCTCTTCCACACACCTTTCACATTACGTCGTCCTTGCCTCTTGCTTTGTGCCCCCTCCACGTCCACCTCTCTTTGTTGGACTCTCCTTTCCACTCCTCGCATCACCTTCTGTGCCTACTCACGCCTTCTCAAAACCTTTCTGTTTTTTTTTTTTTTCAGGTGGATTGTCAGGTGGCATGAGCACGAGCCTCTGCTTCGGGAGGTGGAGCATCATCTGTCTAAGGAAGAGCAGGAGACAGCTATGAAATCGTACTGCGATGCCGAGGATAAAGAGACCATGGATAACACAAAGATGCTCTATCTTGGCTGCACGTACCAGCCCGGACAGTTCATTCTAGTCCCTCCGCTTGGTGTTCCCGGCCTTGCTACTGGTGGACATGGTGGGTTTGGTGGAGCTGCTGGTTTGGGGAAAGGCACGATGGGTAGATAGCTGTGATAACCGGTGATTTGTGATATGTCTAGAACGTTTCTGGCTGATGGCTGGTTTGACAGTTCTGTAAAATATGCTTACGTAGTTGTGGTGTGTGGGAGCTTATATATTCTGGGGTTTTTCTGCACACTAGATCGCTCTTCGACATAATATCGAATTGACGAATTGATCCCTCATGATCGCGTTGTAGCTGTGTTCACCGCGTGGTCGAACCGGCTGCGTCCACCGCGATTCATGTGCTCCTCTCCTGTCCACTAAAATCCTGTGACACCTCATCACGAGGTGCAATGATGTGTCGACTCGTCGGAACCTGCTCTGAACAGCGACAGTCTTCTTGCGCCCCCGCGCAGAGCTGCCCAACCACAAGGGGCAGACCCCAATCTGTGGATAACTTTCTGCATTCCTACTGGTTGATTGTTAAATTGGGCAGGCAAATTGGGAGGTTGCAGATTTTCCTCGTCCACTCTCGTCTGAAAAGCCGAACAACAATCAGCAACGACATCCAAACGAAACCATTACTGTACAGTGCTTACAGAGGAGAGGACACTTCGACTGTGTAGTTGTACAATACTGTGCTACACTGGTATATCGACTAACAATAGTTTGTGCTTCAGACACTGGCAACTACGAACCCCAACGAGTGCGTCTGGTTTCTGACCTGGAAAAACTCAAATTACTGGGCGCATTGCTCCTGCCTCTTAGTTTCTTCTCCTCTGACTCGTCAGGAGTTGAAAAAACTGGGCCATACTGCTGTATCACTTGTGTGCCGCCCAACTCTCCGCCTCCTGCGCTCTATCGCCATGGCTGTACCGGCGCACCTTCACGCACTTCCGCCGCTACCCTATCCTTCCGCACTCACATTCCCATCGCGCACGTCGCGCGCACTGGGCGCGCCGCAATGCACTCTGCCTCTTAGACGACGGGTGCACGACTTTCTCAGCGGCGAGCCTGCGCGTACAGCAGGGAGCATCCATGGAGAATGGAATAGATCCGCGCAGCGAGGATTCCGGGAAGGAGGGCGACGCGCCGGCAGTAGGGAGTCAATTGTCGCTGCGATTGGGGGATCTAGTGGGGGGACTGCAGCGCCGTCGCGTGGACAAGGGAGCGGCGTCCCGCAAGCCAATCACACGTCGAGCTCATCCGACTCGGACTCTGACACTTCTCCTGCCCGTCAATCCTCCTCACTCTCCGCCTCCGCCGCCTCCTCCGCATCCGCAGCTGCCGCCAATTCCGCCTCCGCGCGCCACCGGCTCCGCGGGTTGCGCGCCGATGACATCCGCCACCCGCTGGACCGCCAGAACACCGCGCTCCTGCGCGCAATTCCCGGGTTAAACGACCTCGGCCGCGTGCTCTTAGGCCCGGTACAGGAGCAGATTCTCGTGCTGGAAAATCTCGGGTCGGGAGTGCTCGTTTCCCCGCAGCAGCTGCCGTCTCTCCACGCGCTAATGGAAGAAGCGGCCGCCGCGCTCGACATGCCGTCGCCGCCGGACCTATATGTGCGGCAGAGCCCCGTTCCTAACGCGTACACGCTCGCGATCAACGGCCAGAAGCCGTTTGTGGTGGTTCATACAGCGCTACTAGACCTCCTCTCGCCGATCGAAGTCCAGGCCGTGCTCGCGCACGAGTTAGGGCACTTAAAGTGCGAGCACGGGCTCTGGCTCACCTTCGCGAATCTCCTCGCGCTCGGCGCCGCGAGCTCGCTGCCGGGATTCCTCGGCACGATGCTCGCGCGCGGGCTGGAAGACCAGCTGCTGCGGTGGCTGCGCGCGGCGGAGCTGACGTGCGACCGCGCGGCGCTGGTCGTCGTGCGCGATCCCCGCGTGGTCGTATCCGTACTGATGAAGCTCGCGGGCGGAAGCACTAGCGGAGGCGGAAGCGGATGGGGTGTGGGGCGCGCGGGGGGAGGCCCCGGGGGAAATGACTGGGGCTGGGCGGGGATGGGGGGAGCCAGGGCGGGGTCGTCCGCGGGGGCTGCTGGCGCAGGGGGGAATGAGGGCGGGGGTAGCAGGGGTAGCTGGTGGGCAGAAGAATTGAGTGTTGACGCTTTTTTGGCGCAAGCGAGGTCTTATGACGAGGCTGCAAATAGCGGGCCACTAGCGTGGTACCTACGGAATGCGCAGACGCGACAGCTGGCGCACCCGTTGCCCGTCCTGCGCGCTAGAGAGGTGGACCGATGGGCTAGAAGCCCGGAGTTTAAGGTGCTGATGGGGCGAGGTAATGTTCCATCAGCAGGTATGGTGGGGGCAGCCAAAGGGGCAGGCGCTGGTGGTGGAAGAACTGCTGGGAGCAGTGAGGAAGCTTCTGGGAATGGCATGTCTGGCTCTGCTAGGAAGGACAGTGGAAGAACGATGGGTGATGGGCAGACAGGGTTAGGGAATGAGATTGGGACTGGCCCAGCAAGGTGGAGGTCTGAAGGGACCGCTTTTAGAGAGGGAAGACCTTCAGGTTCAGGGAAGAGGGACTGGTGGAGCTGGTGAGGTCAGAAGGTCAGGAGCTGAACTGGATTGGTGGAATATTGTATCCATGACTTGTATTGATTAAAGTTCGATTCCATTGTTTTTCTTTGTATAATTCTGGATTGTATGGTATATACTGTCAGGTAATTTGCTTCATCTCTTCTAAAATGTCTTGCTGATCGATATTATTCTCGATTATATATGTATATGCACAATCATAAGAACCACCGAATGAATCTGTTCGATGGAATGCGTAATGCACAGAAGCACCAAACGCATCTGCTAGTGTCAAGTACATGGGATCCCGGCGAATTCATTCCAGAATCAGCCCCGAGATTCATCGCCACGTCAACCACACCTGGTGAAACCTTGTTGACCTTCGACTCCCAAGCCCTCGTCCTGTCCAATGGATACTGTGAACCGACAAACTTCAACGCTGCCCGTGAGTGAATCAAGCCATCATTGAATTTCACAGCTGCCCTACCTGCCAGGTCAGCACAGCACACTCCCCAAACCAAACGGCACTGCGACCGCTAAATTCCCCGCGACCCTGCCACGCGGAGACCTCCCCTTTCACAACAGCTCCGAAAGGTCCCCGACCGAGCACATTTGCGCTTTCCGACTCTGCGCGTGGGCTCCCTCGTCTTGCTCTCTTGCTTCGTGGTTCAGTCTCCTGTCCGCCAACTTCCGCATCCCCCCTGCTTGTTGAACAAAGATCACTGGCGCAGCGCAGTGCGGTGTGCGCAAATGCCTTCCGCCGAATCGCACACCTCAATGCGTTTTTTCTCCTGCCCTCGACCGACAAAAGCAGACTCGGAAAAAAAAATAAAAAGAGCTGCCTGCCAACTCGCTTCATTCGCTGTTGTCCGCGCGTCACTCACTCCTCTCCTCCCGACTCCCCATATCGCTTCCTCAAAAGCCAAGACTGCTCGACGGGTCTTTCATCTCCTCCTCCTCACATCGTGTTCTCGAAATACTGCGTTCTTTCGTGCCGCAGCTGCTGGTCCATCCCGGCCAACAGCCAAGGAGGAGGAGGTCGATCATCCCGCAAAATCTTGCTGCAGCCGAAAACGAACATCGTCAGCTCACGTCGGGTCCTTCGTCCCTCACCGCGCCGCTCGAAAACCTGTACGAATCCAGCTGCGTCGTCATGGCATCCATCGCCGCCACAGCCCTAGCGCCGACTGCGCGGCTCGCCACCCCTCCCTCCGCTTCCGCGGCTTCTGATGCTTCTTCCGCCGGTGCGACCCCTCTTCTTCCGCTCCGCTCCGGATCATCCGGTCGTCCACTCTCCCGCCAGAGCGCAGCGTTCTCCACGCCTTCTCTCGGAGAATTCGCGCAACCTTCCGCCGCTTCCGCGCGGGGGCGTCGAGGCGCAGTGCTTGTTCGGGCTGAGTCGGTGGAAGCCAAAGTGGCAAGAGAAGAGACACAACCTGGCGCGGCAGCGTCTGCATGTTCAGATTCCGAGGGCGAAGGTACGCCGCGATAGCCGTTTTTTCTTTCTTTCTTTTGCCGACTCAGATATCAACTCTGCTGCTACAGCGCTGATTTCTCAAAACCAGTGAAGCAGGCCAAAACGCACCGAATGCTTGACCACTACGGACTTAAGACGTACGTGGTCACTTACAGCTGTAAGTGATTGGCTGTGCACTCCATGTGATGCAAACGAGGCGTCATTCAACAGGAATGAGTCTTCCGGAAATCGCACACACGATATGCGTCTGTCGTCCCTACACCCTTCCTGCCTCCATCGGCATACCCGCTTCTGCCGCTGCTGATTTTCTCATTCCCCGTATCCCCTCCCCCGCCACCTTCACCCCCCCTCCTCCCCCCATCCCACCCCCATTCCTCCCCGGGTCCCCGCATCAGACGCCTCCGCTCCGCGTCTCACGGTGGCGCAGAAGCTGCAGCTGCAGATGTCCTCCCCGACCTCCCTTCCCGACGGCACCACCATCCCGCTCCCCATCGGCGGGCGGCGGCGCGTGCTCTCCGCCTCGTACCCGCTCGCGGCTTGGACGCCCGCGCAGAAGCGCAACCTGGCGCGCGCAACGCTGCTCAGCAAGGTGGGGGAGCGGAACGACTCGCCGCTCTTCGCCACAATCGGCGCGCTTGTTCTCGGCCCCCCAGTCGTCATCCTAGCCGTCGCTTTTTTCTCCGGATACGTCGACTTTCTGGGCTGAACCCGTTCTGGCCGCAGTTCCTCTGGCCCTCTCGGCGAAGCTTCCCAGCTGTTGCTTTGGGCTTTCCGGGTGGGGACGAGACAAGAGCACGCGTGTTACGCTTGTAATTTGTAGTCTAAAGTGTGTGAAAGGTGTGTGGTGTGGTGGCATGCAAGATAGAATGGTTGCACCTGGCATGGCGCTGTAAAGGATCTGGAGCTGGCGAGATGCGGAGCAGCTGCAGTGGCGTGGGTTGCGGTGGAGTTGGATGGACTGGGATGGAGTCGGGTATTGATTACTGATCAATGGTCGTTACCTCGATGGTGACGTGCCAGTGGAATGGTGCTGCCAGTGTAGAGTACGTGTTGCGGACGAGGCAGTTTTTCTCCTTGCTACGTCACTGGGGTTGCTATCTGTGTGCTTCGGGAACCCAGCTACTCTGGTTGTCCGCTTAGCCGGGAAATATGGGCTGCAAAATCATGGGTGCGACCTGTGCCTTGTATTTAGCATGCTACTAGGCCCACTATAGTGAGTGTGCGTTGTGTGAAGTGTGAGTGCGTTGGTGCGAACACTGCAGCAATCCTGTGTACTGATTTTCATGTAGCTACATGTGCAATACAAATGGCTTGCTAGATAACACCTACTGCAACCACTTATCTGTATCTGAAAGGAATTTTCTCGATATTCCTTGGCGCACCCTGCAACATCACGTATAGCAGCAGCCGTTGTTCGCCCGTTACTGCTAACGGGACTTCGCCAACTTCGCGCGCACTGTTTCACCAAACATCGAACTGCTGGCATGGCCGTGTCGGCTTACGCTTCGGGACTAGCCCGAGCCTTCCAGCGTAGCACTAGCTAGCTCGCATGCACCACGTTACCGTTTGCATGTTTCGCGTATACATGTTCGCTCATGCCTTCGCTCACATTTTCTACTCGTTTGACACCTTAGTGCTATTCTCGCTAGGTACTTCGATTCATTGCACCCGTAACACTTAGTATTCAAAGCCTCTTTCCTTTTCGGACCGTGCATCTCCGCACCCCAGGAAATCACTCGAAGGGACTCACGTACCTTAGCACCTAGGAGCCGCTGTCCTCACGTTCTCTCGTAAACGCGTGCAGCCACGACTGCGCCTAGACTAAGACGAGCCGACGCCTTTCAAAATGGCTGAACATATCAACGTTACGACTCTCACGCAGGAGCACTTGAACGATCTGCTGCGACAAATCCGCGAGAGCGCCGAGGAAATTGCGACGCTGACGGCAGAACGCTCGTCCCTGCAAAACGACCTCACACAAGCACAATCCCAAGCACCTGGCACTCCGATTCAGCCCGCACCACAGGCATCACAGCACGGAGGTGTGGGGCCACCCGCGAGCGCCGCAAGTGATGGCGTCGTCTGTCGAGATTAGCTAGGAAGAAGTGTGGATTAGGTGAGAGGGAGGGGGTACAAGGATGTCGAGAGAGTTGGGTTGTACCCTCTAGGTGTGACCCCTACACAACCTAAAGTAACATGAACAAACAATATGTTTTGACACACCCCCATAGGTGAAGTAGGGGATAGCCAAACCGAACAGTGGTCACAAGACCAGTCAAGCAAGAGAATAAGCAAGGCAAAGCCCAGGGTGGATCTCAAGGACACCACACGATCTGAGCACAAGAAGGCGGCCACAAGACCAGTTCACATGCAGATTTATAAATAGCAAGGCAGTACACTGATCACAACCTAGCAGGAGTAAACATGCAGGTATAAATATATATAGCAGTGTACAAGAGCAAGTCAAGCAACCAGCAGGTGAGGCAGAGTGGGCACAAGCCTAAGAGCAGTGCAGAAACGCTGACGATCACCAGACCCAAGGGCCTTGGTGAAGACATCTGCAGTGTTGGCCCGAGAGGCAACGTAAGCAAGGCGCAGCTGACCACGCTGCTGCAGCTCACGCGCAAGGAAGTAGCGAAGAGCAATGTGCTTCGTTCTGTGCTCTAGTCCCTGCTCCCGACACGAGGCAAGCATTGCCTTGTTGTCGACATACAGAACTGGAGGGGAACGAGGCCGCTCCCCCAAGTCGGTCAGTAGGTAGGTCAGCCAACGTAGCTCCTGTGCAGCCAAGGCCCCAGCGTAGATCTCGGCCTCGCAGCTGGAGCCAAGCACAGACGAAGAACGAGTGGACCTCCACGAGACAGGACCAGAGCCAAGACTGAAGGTGTAACCCTGTGACGAACACTGAGTCGCCTGGTCGACGGCCCAAGAAGCGTCAGAGTGTCTGGTGAGTACCACTGAACTCCGTCCTCCAAGCACGAGCCCCATGCCCGATGTACTGCACAAGTAACGCAGTACCCTCTTCGCAGCATCCCAGTGCACCTTTCGGTGTCTACCAGGAGCCACGTAGCGAGCCATAAGGCTGAGAGGGTACGCGAGGTCAGGTCGTATGCACGTCATCAGGTACATGAGGCAACCTACAAGCTCTGGGTACGGACCACTCGGCTCTACGGACTCGTCCGAAGGTGGAGCTGAGAGCGAGTGGCCGGTAGACAGAGGAGTGGGCTGAGGCGAGGAGAACTGGAAGCCGAAGCGTTGAAGGACCCGGTGCACCATGTGTGACTGAGTCAAGGTGATGGTGCGTCGTGCTCTGTCCCGGGTGATCTGCAAGCCAAGATAGCTCCGCAGCTCACCCAGGTCAGTGCAAGTGTGTCTCTCTTGCAGCTCCGCCTTCACTAGGGCCAGTGCCTCAGTGTCAGCAGTAGCAAAAACCAAGTCTTCGACGTACACGAGGATGTAGAACGGTGACAGAGTAGTGTCGGTGCGTAGAAACAGCGACGGGTCAGCAGTCGAAGGAGCAAACCCAAGTGCCGCAAGTGTCGTCCTCAATGTGTCGTGCCACTCGCGGGGCGCCTGACGCAGGCCGTGCAATGGTCGCCGTAGCCTCTACTGGGTACCAGGAGGAAACGACCCAGTGAAGCCCTGTGGACGACGCAACCAGATGGCCTCGTGAAGGCTACCCTGCAAGAAAGCTGTCGTGAAGTCGAGGGAGTGCAGCTCGTAGTCACGCTGAGCTGCAACGTGTAGCAACACCCGAAGAGTGGTCATCTTCGGGGTGGGGGAGAAGGTATGAAAGAAGTCAACCCCCTCACGCTGACTGAAGCCTCGATCAACGTAACGTGCGTTGAAGGCAGGCGGAGAACCCAGCGGCCGCTTCACCCTGAAAATCCACATGCCATTGACGATGTTCGCCCCAGGTGGGGGATCCTCATCGACGTAGGTGCCTGTGGACTTCCAGGAAGCCATCTCTGCGTCCATAGCTGTCTGCCATTGAGAGGAGTAATCACCCGAAATCGCCTCCCTGTAGAAGCGCGGGGTGGGGATGTCAAGTGCATCCGGGTCTCCCTCAGGGGCAAGCAGCATGGTCGCGTGATGGGGTGAAGCGGCCGCAAGGCACTCGAGCTCATCCTGCCTGTCCTTAAGAACGTCACAGCCAAGGGCAGTACAGCCAAAGGCAGTCTCACCCCCGACGGACGGAGGACAGGCAGGGACAGGGTCAGAGACAAGACTTGCAAGGTAGTCGAGGCGGTACACAGCAGCCAAGTCAAGGAGCTCAGCCACTAGGGCGGACGCAGCTGGAGACGAGAACGTAGGGGCCGTCACAATTGTAGCAAGAAGGCGAGTAATAGTCAGACTGGACGCACGGGCAAGGTTAGACGGAGGGTCGGCAGCATCAGGCAGCGAGGACGCGGGAGGTAAAGGTAGGACAGCACTCTGAGGAACAGAGGAAGGACGGAGTGTCATATCGTGAGTGCCGGGGATAGCCGGAGCACGCGGACGACGAACACGAGGAACACGAGCACGGACAGCAGCTCTAGGCTAAGGCTGAAGGTCAAAGCTAGACTCAGGCTCTCGACGCTCAGTGGTGTCAAATTATAATATTGTGTAGGCTATAGTGGGGTAGCCCATATGGGGTACACATTTCTAGGGTTGCATATTTGTATCACTTCCATTCCTTAGTCATTCATTCTCGTTCACATTTTCTCATGGTATCGAGCAAGTTCCCCCTTGGGAACTGTGCCTAGGGCCCACCACATCGACCTTTTTTTTTCCTGCCCGAAGCGCGCTCCGCCCGAGTCGCACTTCGGGCTCTCACCTCGTCAAGCCGCCCTAGCGGCCCCCTTTCCCCTAGTGGCCCCGCCGCGCGTCGCCTCGGCCCCGCCGCCCGTCGCTTCGGTCCCGCCGCCCGTCGTCGCGGCCCCGCCGCCCTACCACGCGGCCCCACCGCCCTACCTTGCGGCCCCGCCACCCTACCTCGCGGCCCCGCCGCCCTACCTCGCGGCCCCGCCGCCCTACCTCGCGGCCCCGCCACCCTACCTCGCGGCCCCGCCGCCCTACCTCACGGCCCCGCCGCCCTACCTCGCGGCCCCTTCGCCCTACCTCGCGGCCCCGCCGCCCTGCTCAGCGGCCTCGCCGCCCTTCTGCAGCGGCCCCGCCGCCCTACTCCTGCGGACCCGCCGCCCTGCTCCTGCGGCCCCGCCGCCCTACTCCTGCGGCCCCGCCGCCCTACTCCTGCGGCCCCGCCGCCCTACTCCTGCGGCCCCGCCGCCCTACTCCTGCGGCCCCGCCGCCCTACTCCTACGGCCCCGCCGCCCTACTCCTACGGCCCCGCCACCCTACTCCTGCGGCCCCGCCGCCTTACTCAGCGGCCCCGCCACCGTTCACCAGCGGCCCTGCCGCCCTACACCGCCTGCGCCGCCCGAGCTGCCAGAACAGCCCGAGCCGCCCGAGCCGCCCGAGCCGCCCGAGACACCCGAGCCGCCCGAGTCGCCCGAGCCGCCCGAGCCGCCTAAGCCACCCGAGCCGCCCGAGCCGCCCGAGCCGCCCGAGCCGCCCGAGCCGCCTGATCAGCCGAGTCGCCAGTGCCGCGGAGCCGCAGTCGCTACTGAGCTGTCCGACTTGCCCTGTCTGGTGAGACCAGCGCTTCTGTCACTGCACTGCCCCTGTCCTACAGTTGGTCTGACTAGTCTACTATTGTCATGGCTT